TTTTTTTTTTTTGAGAGGTTTTCGCTATAGGGCGCGTGCGCTCGCCATACAGACAGAGAGAGACATAGAGATAGAAAGCGAGAAATCACCCCCCAGGGGGGATGGTCACGCCGCAATCCCTTCTCCTCCATTCTCCTCTCGGGATCTTGGGCATGCACGCACACGTGCCCGGTGTGAGTTTTAAGCCACCGGGTCCGGGACGCGAACCGCGGTCGACTACGCGGGAATCCAGTGACATAGCCATTACGCTAACTGCTGGTTCCCTAGGCAGAGTTTTTTTAAAAAATGAAATGAAAAGGAGGCATTATAATAGGCAAAGTAAAAATGATGTCTGTCCCAGAGAAGAGTGTTTAGGAAAACTGTCAAAGATCTGGAGTGGCTGACGGGGAGTGTGTGCTGCAGTGATGAGCAGACCCTGCAAGGCTGGCTGCAGATCTCAAGTTTATTCTTTCGGTGTGAGGAAGGCATTGGAGCAGGTTTATGTTTCAGAGCAGTAGTACAGAAAATAATCTGAAGGAGAAAAGAGCCCAGAAGGGAGACTCCAAGCAGGCTGCAATAGCCCTTCATACATTGACTATGCTCCTTCTAGGGGTCCAGCCTGGTTTTAAAACGATGAAGCTATGGGGGACCAGCAGTTGGCATAATGGCTATGTCGCTGGACTCCATGTAGTCGATCGCGGTTTGCGTCCTGGACCCAGTGGCTTAAAACTCACGCCGGGCACGTGTGCATGCATGCCCAAGATCCAGAGAGGAGAATGGAGGAGAAGGGATTGTGGCGTGGCCATCCCCCCTCGGGGGTGCTTTCTCGCTTTCCGTCTCTGTCTCTCTCTGTCTGGTGAGCACATGCACCCTATAGCAAAAATCTCTCAAAAAAAAATTTAAAAAAAATGATGAAGCTATGGTAATGAGCTAGACAGGCAAGGCCCCTGCCCTCACACAGAGATTTTTATTCTACTGGGAAGAGACACAGCGAAAAGCAACTAAATAAACAGGATGAACAGTCAAGATGGTGAGGACTATATTTGTGAGGTCTGCAAAAAGTTCATGGAAAGTGCATGTGATGAAAAAATGCTGCGTGGATTTAAAAATATTTTTTGCGTCAAAATAAACTTATACTTTTAATTCCATTTTCCACGAATTTTTTGAAGTCCCTTTATAGAATCGAATAGTAACAGGGCACTATGAAGTAGAGGAAGGAAGTGGGAAGGGCTTGTTTCAAGAGGTCAATCTGGGGGGAAAATGGAAATGCAGAGGAATGAGATAGCTACCTGTGGGCCAGGGCTGGAGGTGGAGGATCAGAGACCTAAGAACCCCTTGAAATTATAGTCAGCCTTTGGTATACATGTGCATGTTTTTGGTGTTGTGCTTGAGAAAGATTTTTTTTTTTTTTGAGAGGTTTTCGCTATAGGGCGCTTGTGCTCGCCAGACAGACAGAGACAGAGAGACAGAAAGCGAGAAATCACCCCTAGAGGGCATGGCGACGCAGCAATCCCTTCTCCTCCATTCTCCTCTCGGGATCTTGGGCGCACACGCACACATACCCGGCGTGAGTTTTAAGCCACTAGGTCCAGGACGCGAATGCGTTCGACTACGTGGGAGTCCAGCGACATAGCCATTAAGCTAACTGCTGGTCCCTTGAGAGAGATTTTTGCCATAAGGTGCATGCGCTTGGTGGAGACAGAGAGACAGAGACAGAAAGCGAGAAATCTCCCCCTCCCCCCAGGGAGGATGGCCATGCTGCCTCAATCCCTTCTCCTCCAGTCTCCTCTTGCGATTTTGGGCACGCACGCACATGTGCCAGGTGTGAGTTTTAAGCCGGGCCTGGGACTCAAACTGCGGTCCAATACGTGGGAGTCCAACAATGTTACCATTACGCCATCCACTGGTCCCCATATGTGCATGTTTCTGGAAAGATTCTCAAGTGGGCACAGGATCCCATCTTCCCCAGGGTTAAGAACCAATGCATTTATCGAATCATTTTGGGATTTGACTCTGGAGCTGGGTGTTCCAGCCTACAGAAAGCAATTTCAGCATTAGCAGATGATTGCAAAATGTCTTCCCCAAATGCCAATTTATATTTATTTATTTATTATATTTATATATTATATTTATAGTTACTATATTTATTTATTTTTGAGAGGTTTTTGCTATAGGGTGCCTGAGCTCACCAGAAAGACAGAGACAGAGAGACAGAAAGCAAGAAATCACCCCTGCAGGGGTGAGGGTCATGCCGCAATCCCTTCTCCTCCATTCTCTTGGGATCTTGGGCATGCATGCACACGCGTCCTGCGTGAGTTTAAAAGCCACCAGGTCTGGGACTTGAACCGGGATTGACTACATGGGAATCCAGTGATGTAGCCATTACGCCATCTGCTGGTCCATCAATGCCTTATTATAAACAATACAACAGACACTTTCAGCATGCATCTGCTTGCATATATAATTAAACTATATCAACCCTGTGAGGGAGAGGGGAGATGACTACACACTGTCTACATGCCTCCGTCTCCCCTACTTACCTTAGGGAGCTGTAGTAAGAGAGAGGCATTTGGAGGTGCAAAGTTGGGCTCCCACGATGTAGACAGAGAAAGCACAGCAACGTTTGTGCTCCGGGTGTAAGACGATGACCGGCCTGGGCCCGAGCACACGCGGTTCGCGCTCAGCAGGAATACTTTTCTGCTCCACCTTACTGACGTCACGTGCTCCGTACTCTCAGCACAGGCGCAGCTCTGCACACAGTCAGGCGCTTATTAACAGGCAGTGGTGGGGCCTCCGTGCAGGCCCTTGGCAAGGCCTGGCAGCCACGCGAGGCCCGTGGCCTGAAGCTCCGCAGGCCCAAGAGGCCACAGCAGATCCAGACGGCCTTGGAGAAGACGCAGGGCGGCTCTGTGGGGTCCAGGGACGGGCTGGAGAGGTCCAGGGAAGCCGGAGAAGGATTGAGGAGGCCCCCGAGGCTCGGCCCGGAGGAGCT